GCGTTAGTGGACATAGTGCTACTTTATTTTCCTTTTCAAGCTCGTTCCGAATATTATATAATGCGTTACAAGATATATGTAATGCGATAAGCATAGAGGACGCATGCATACATTTCGCGGGATCTTCAATTTTAATTTTAACTTAACACTATTTCTACCAAGGACTTTCACTTTCACGTATCAAAATTCAATCTTTGTAACAAAAACAAGTAAGAAAATTCAATTCGGTCGGGGCCGAAACTTTTGTACCGATCACCGTTTACTCCCAAAAAAAAAAGAGAAAAAGAAACACAAAAAAGGAGTAAAAGGACAAAATTCTCATGCTGTAGAATAAGGAGAGGGCGTAGCTGATTTCTACTGTTTTCAAAGTACAAGTTTTTACCGTAGAGGCATGTGAGCGCTGTAGGTCTGCCCTTCGAAAAGCATAAATCAATTCTAAATTTTTTTTGCAAATTTGTAGGCGATGTCTTCATTTTCGCTCTTTCTTATTTTGACGGACAGTTCCAACTGAGGAGGTTTTTTTTTTTGGAAAAGGGTTTGTTGCCAGAAAACTTGGGAAAAAATTATCGGTCGTAACGTTTCTGCCGCAGCCAGTAAATGATTCAATCAGCTTCAAAACGACAGAATCAGCGAATAAAACTGGTATCGGTCTCATTTCATCTCCCTCTTCGGTCTCTAAGCATGGAAACCCATGCGGAATATCTTTGTTTTTCGCATCAGATGCCAAATGTATCGGACTTATTTGGCATGTCTTGCGTGAACCTGCATACAACTTTCGTTGGCTAAAACTGCCCATCCGCTGTGACATTTGCGACAGCCTTGAAATACTTTTGACTGCTTTCAATGGGTCCGTTCCACAAACTTGATACTAAAAAAAAATTATCCCACGCCAAGCGATGGTTCCGCTCGTTTCTACTGAAACGCAAAAATCGTAGCATTTCCATGAAGTAATTTCGCCTCATGACATGCAAAAAAGAGGCAGGACCCCATTTTTTATTCCATACAAACAATGCATTACCATTTTTTTTTTCACCGCACATATATAAAGAAGTGTTCTACTAGAGGAGAAACTTCCTTCGATCCTGTTCCAAACTGTTCCATCAACAGCAATTTCAGTATTTTTTTTTTTCACTATCGTCTTTAGAATCCGTCAACAATCGCACTCTTTCGTCCTCTACTTGCATTGAAATTATATTCCTTTTCATTAATGCTTGACGAGTCATTTTCATAGTCGCTATCAAATTCTTGGTCACTTTCGAAGGAATCGTTCAACTCCTTCCTCACTCTTTTCCATGCTCAATTTCACAGCATTCTTCTATTTCTTCTTTTCTACTATTTACTTACCTACACTCAAACAAACAAACAATGTGTTTTTTTCGTAAACAAGGGATAAGAAATAGAAACAGTTGACAGTGTTACAAGCAATTTTACTGCTTACTTATGTGTTTTTCAAACTTTTCCCGAATGAAAATAACATCCACGTGAACTGAATTCACTATCAAGATTGGAAAACAAAACAAGTTACTCAATTTTTTTAGAACAAGCCACTGCTATGATCTACAGTAAAATGGAACAAGGCGAAAAGCAAGCAAATATCAAAGTATCTTCCGTTATAATTGAGATCGCGATTCCCTAATCAGATTGCAATTGACATGATGCAGTAAAATGGTGTTGATATGCATATATGCGAAACGGTTTAAAATTAGAGACTGTTATGAAATCCTTAAGGCGTCAAAAGACAACTAACTCATGGTAATCATAAGTATATCATATCCACATTTTCAGATGCAGGCTAAGCAGGAAGACAATGACATTGCTGAATTAATTTAACAACTGTTGTAAAAAAAGTCAAAAAATTAATTGTGGAGTACGGATTAAACTTAGAGAATAATGTTAAGTTAAACTTTGAAAAGTGTCTTCTGACACCTCTTAGTGGAAATAGTGTTAATTCCATGTGTTACAAGAGAAAAGGTAAAATTTCAATATATACGCACACCGTGCTGAGCACAAAAACTCGCCTCTTCACGTATTCAATATTTGTTTATGACTTTACAAATTCCTTTCGAATAAATCGTGCAAAAATGAAGCGCAACTTGCACAAACTGAAACGTACCGGTTGTAATCGTTTATCTTAAGTTAAAATTATCATGACAACAACAACTGTAAAAAGTTAAAATTTCAAATAAATACGCACATTGTGTTTGAGCCATACATAATGTATATATGTGCACATATTTGCACATGCAATATATTCCGTACACTTTATACATATGACTTACCTTGTAATAGATTTGTTGAATGAAAACATGAACGAGACATAAGTAGTTGTTAACGTTATTACGTTAATGAAGTTGTAGTAAAATAAATGCATACAATAATAACAAATTTGATAAATATTTTATTTAAATGAAAAGTTATGATTATTTTATTTTACTTCTTTTTATGTTGTATTATTTCGTCCACATCTGCAGTTATTTTTTTCTTCTTCGCTTTAATAAAAACATTATAATATTTTAAAACAAACTGTTGCCGTCGAAATTGTCGAAGTTAGACAAATATAAACCTGGCGTTACATCCCCTATATTATGCAGTTGTATGTCGGACTATGTTGATTTTTAAATATTTTGGCAAAATTCTTTCATAATAAAACTATATTATAATTGATTTTTTTCTATTAAAAATATTTCAATTTTCAATTAACTTTTTTCCATTTTTTATCATTATTATTAATCAAAATAAGAATGTTGATCGCTCTCTTTCTCTCTGAGAGGCTGGAGCTGGTTCTTAATGAAGTAAAAAAGAGTTTTCGAAAAAATTCATTCTCTTTAGGCAAATATTCATTCATTTCTATTTTTTTGTTTTTGTTTTAAGTTTCAAATATTTTATCTTCTTTGCACTTTCTAAGTTGCGATGTTTTACAATCCTTTGGTTTTTCTCTTTAATTATGCGGTTAATCTTGCTTGCATATAAGTATCAACGCACCCACTTCATTTAAACCGGTTATAAGCGTATTAACCCGAATTAAAAGATTCTTTTTCATTTTATTTTTAAGATAAAGACCACAATTTCCTTAAACACAGAAAACAAAAAATTACTCAGTTAGTTAAAATAAACATCTAAACATCTTTTTTCATATTTTTAAGCAAAAATAACACACCGCACAAATAATTTTGTTTTGCAATAACTATTGCAAAGTCACTCTCTCATCCATTCGCTTTAAAACTCCGATTATTCGGTGACCATAGAGTGTTGCTCACTTTGCCAGGAATTTTATTTCAATGTAACTTCAGATGCCAACTGCTCTTAAATTTGCACGACAGATTTTGATCAGGATCGGCTTCATTTCATCATCATATCTAAATAAGCATTTGGCCTAATGCGTATTACGGATGTAAGCTTTTCCCCCAAATTATTTAGCGTTTATATCTACAAGTTTTATTATTATTTCATTTGACAGAGTGCTTCCAAGAGCGCCAAATATGACAAATACTTCAATTGCGTTGAGGAAAATAATTTAAAAGGAGAAGAACGTTGTCTGACTTGTCTCAATTTATACAAAGATTTAAACTCTTATTTTATATCACTGGATAAGCGTTATATTGGTAAAGTTTGCTTCGAAATGCAGTCAGGTAATTTTTTTCTTTTTTAAGAAATTTCCGTGATTCCTCAAGTCGTAAAAATAAAATAAAAATTCCTCTGATTTTAATACCAAATGAATCGCACGCGGTCAATTCGAAATGCAACAATTGCTATTAATTTTTTCTCCGCTTAAAACAGCTTTCATATTTACGTACATTTCGCACAAGCTCTCGCGAAAAGAAATGCACATCTTTGAAATTTTGTATTTAGTATTTATTCAAAAACAACAAAAACAAAACTGAAAAAAAATCTAGAAAATGTTTAGATTTATATTCACATAAGCAATTGTTAAAAAGTGGTAATTCTCTCTATTCTCTCTCAATCCCCACTTTTTCTCTCTTTTTCATACACGACTAAAACAAACTTTTACAATCGCAATCGCCAGCAATACTACAGTGGTGTCAAGTTTATGAAGAAATTCTCTCACAGCAAATAAAATATTACAATAACAATCCCCTTAATATCTCAATAAATGATGCCAACTCAACAAAATATTCTGAAAAAAAGAAGATCCGGGTTGCCAGTCGACGTATTTTTGAAAAAAAAAACAAATCATATGCTGTGAAAAACAAGCAGGGAGAAGAAAAAATCAAATAAAATTAAAAATTAAAGTTAAAAGTTGAACTAAATAATAAAATTTTAAATTAAATTAGCTTAAATAAATAGCGGAAATTTAAAAAAAATGTTCACTCTTTAATATTGTGCTTCATCAATGTTTATGTAAACAAGCGCAAGCCGCATAACTTTGCTTTTGTAACGCACGCAAGCATTGTGTGCCGCGCTTAACTCAGTTAATCATAACCATCAGTTTAAAGTTCACTCTCCTTATATAGTCCCGTTTTATATAAACCATTGCACGTGATTCCTTTCAAGATACTTTACAATGTGCAAATTTTGAAACAAGTCAAACCAAGAAATTAGCTTTGATAATTTGATTCTGGAACTTCGCGATTTGCTTCTTGAATAGATCCGTCGTATTTAAGGAATGTTCGTTAATCTAATAATAAGACTGTTTTCGTAAAATTATAAGTCATTGACGCATCTATAAAACCTATCAAATAGCGCATGTAAGGTCAATTTGGTAAGACCGTTGCTGCTTCTAACACTACACAATCTTATCTTAAGAATTGGGTCTTTACTTTGTACTTCTTTTTGAAAAATATTTTAAATTTCACAGTTATCATATTTTAATTTATTGTTTTCATTCAGTTAAAGTAAGAATACCAAAAATCGAAGCGGAAAAAGTTAAATTACGCTTAGTCGTTTTCATTTGAAACAGAATGGAAAATAAATATTTGACATCATAAGTACTTGTAAATCTCACCCAGTGACTTTAGTTTTTTTTTTTTTGCTATGTTTACAAGAAGGTTTTATTTTTTATGTAAATTATTTACATTATTTCTTTTAAAAATTTTATATAAAAAAATAGCGTAATGGATCAAATAACACTCAGTAAGTTTTGCGCAAATTTTATTGCCTGCCTTTCACCGTCAATATTCAATAATACTTCATTAAAGTTTCCTCAGCGGAAGAGCAGCTAAAATGTTTTGGCAACTTTCTGGCTGAGCACGATAAGACGCTTGAAGACATTCTGCAGCACTACATTATTTTAGCGGATCAACAGAATTCACTTTGCAATGAGCCTCTCGTAAAAATAGATTATCAAGCGAATCGAGAGCAGTTATCATTATTGCGGTTACTAGAATCCGATCGGCTCCTGAATAAAGTGCTATTAACATTTGGATATTTATGTCAAGAAGTGAAAAATGTTGCAAAGGATGCAAAAAACATTCAGATTAAGTTTTTATATTTGGATGAGGAGTTACTGCTTATTTTGGAAAATGATAGATTAGACGGAGAAGATTTGGGCGTTGATAAGCTCAATAACGAACGTTTACTGTTGAAAATGAGCGAATCTATGGAGTTTTTATGCCAAATGCAATTTTTGTTCCAACGTTGTATATTGCTGGGCAATAATTTGTTACATCAAAGTGGTGCTTTATTGGCTAATGAGAAAAGTACGAATTGCATTGAACTGAAATTAACGGTTAGACATCGATTTAAATCTTAAAAAATAAAAATCACCCTTATTAAACGCTTGATTTTAACTTTCAGCATGTTTGTGATTATTTAAGTGAATTGTTTTATAACATTTTGATATTCGATCAAATTCTTTATCGTTCGAATTTTTCGCGTTTCTGGCCGGCTTACAAAAAAACTGTAGAAGCTATTGGTCTTAGTGGCTCCAAATGGCGCAATTGCTCTCCCGCAGAATTCAGTGGCTTGGAAAATTGCTTACAAGAATTAGATATTTTATTCACTGGTTGTCTATATCAGGTAATAGTTTACTTAGCTAAATTTTGTTTTGCTTTCTTTTTTTAATTGTCATTTCCATATTTTAGCATTTCCTCGAAAGCAGTTTCAATTTAAAGGAGAGAATCGGTCCTACCGGTCTAGGCCAATTGACACAACAGTTCAATGATTACCTAAGGCAGCAATTGCAACGAATTGACAAATTTAATAATAGTGTATTGAATGAATTCAGCGAAGCAAATATCTTGATAAAACTTAATGCATTCTGTGTGGTTTTTCACGATTTTTGCGGACAAGTTGATAGCAAAGCTTTGAAGCATTTACTGGAATTGAATAGCAAGCATACGGGTATTTTGTTAATAGCTAATATTCCCTGGTCATCTTCGGACTTCCTGCGTAAAAATGCATTTTCGTTGGTAAAGCCGCACTTAAAACTAATGAACGATTTACGAAAAGAACAGCAGCTTTTTTTAAATACTCATGCTGCATCACTATCACGTGATTGTCGCTCCTATTGTTCACAAATAACGTTATGGATATTAAAGATGAACAAGATCCTGAATGTAGCGCCATTTGATCTAAAAATGGAACAATTCAAGGAACTAACTATGCTCCTGAATCAAGGCATTGATATAGCTGGTCAAGTGAGCTTCCTAATCAAAGGCATAGTGAATTGCCATGAAGGTATACAAATACCCATGACTAAGCCTAGTTTATTAACCATATGCAAACTTATCGAACTGTTGAAAATGATACAATTGTGTTTAAGAAATCATACAGCAAATATAGCCAAAATTATAAACTGTTTACTACAATATTTCCAATATAAAATATTGCATTTGTTAAGCAATTGTAAAGTAAGTTCATAGAAATGAAGAATTTTTTTTTAAATAACAAATTCTCTTTTGCAGAAAAAATTAATATCCTCGAAATTAGCTGAACGGGGTGTGGATGCTTTAGCAGCTTTGAAAATTTGCGAACGCTGTTTACATGGTCCACCCAGCAAAGCACGCATTCTGGTCGCCAAATTGGCCTTCGATGCTTCATGCAACGTAAAAAATCGTAGTGTAACGCAAGAGCAACAAGAACGTTTTCGTAATTTAATGCAACGCATAGAGATAATGGCGGAATTTCAATTACATATAGAAGAAATAGGTGATGCTTCGTTCTTGTGCTGGCATCAATCGATTTTACAAGCCTATCTGAAACAAATTGTTGATAAAAAGTTAGATTTTCAATCATTTCAGGTAAAGCTATTATATAAAAAAATTTTTCCATTCTTATAAAAAATATCACTGAAATTTACTTGAACTTTAGTATCTTATTAGCTCAGCCGATGAGTGTGTTAAAGCATTGAAAATTCTTGGCTTAAAAGATTTAAATTTGTTTTCGTCTTTGGAAAAATTCAACTTTGAAAATATACGTTCCGAAATTATTAGCAAACTTTGTGCTCAGATAGAAATATTCCTGCGATTGGATGTACATTCCAGTTTGCAATTGGAGAAAATTAATCCTTTTGATCAGGGCATCGATGATTACAAAAAACTAATTAATATTTGCCCTTTAGCGATAAATGGCAACTACGTATTATTAAAGGATCATGTTGAAAACTACTTGAGTGCTATGTTTTATAATTTGACCACGATATCGCTACATGATTGGAAAACATATGAAGAGATGAGGCATTTAGCTAATAAAAGATTGATTTTAAGACCGGTAGAAGATTATTTGCCAAATCAAACCTTAGAGCAGGTAAACGGCTATAACTGAACTAACTGAACTAAGCATAATTATTAAAGTTAATCTTTCACCCCTCTGTTAGGGTATTGATATACTGGAGATAATGCGTAAAATACACGTTTTTGTATCTAAATATGTTTACAATATGAATTCACAAATCTTTGTGGAACAACAAAGCAACAACAAACATTTGGATACTATAGGTATTAAGCATATGGCGAATTCGCTACGTACTCATGGTACCGGTGTAATTAACACTACCGTCAATTTTACATATCAATTTTTAAGGCAAAAATTTTACACCTTTTCCCAATTTTTGTATGATGAACAAATTAAATCTCGTCTTATGAAAGAATTAAGATCGTTTGCTGAACGCAAGCACACAGACAAATATCCTTTATATCCATATGAAAGAGCTGATAACTTTAATAAGGATATACGTAAGTTGGGTTTGACTCAGAACGGGCAAACTTACATGGATCTTTTTCGAAACGTTATTACTCAAGTTGGTAAGCATTTATAATCGATATGAATATAATTTTCGATTTTATATATTTTCGTACTTTCTTTTAGGCAATGCTATGGGCTATATACGATTGGTGCGTTCGGGTAGCATACACGCTAACTATAGTGCCAGTTTATATTTACCGAAATTTGCTGACGACCTGAACTTTGTACAAAATTGTCATAATCAAAACCTAAGTGAGGTAACACAAAATGCTGCTGAAAATCTCGAAACAAATATACAAAATTTAGCAAAATGTTTCGCTGACAACACTGACTATTTTAAGGTTTTTAAATATTCAAAAGTTTCCTTGTTTTACATTGTTTTACCCTATAAATGTTATTTTAATTTTAGTTACTAATTGATGCCTTTCAGCCGTTCTTTCGTAATCCAAATAATTTGCATTTGAAAACTTTTTATTTGATTGTACCCGCTCTAACGATGAATTACGTAGAGCATATGCTCGCAATGAAAGCTAAAATCAATAAAAAAGAACGCGAGGAAGTTATACTTTTCGATGACGGTTTTCCCGTTGGCCTAGCTTACGTGCTCAAACTTTTGAATCAAATCGGCGACTTTAACACGCTGCAATGGTTTGCGACAATACGAGACCGCTTCGAAATGGAAAGCCGCAAAATTAAAGAAATGCTTTTGGAAATTAATAATAATTCAAAGCAATCAACTAAATCTAATACAAACGCTTTAGTGGCGCAAAAAAGTGAAAATGAAAAACTGCAACAAACGTTTGTGCTGACCGAACGACGCATAAATGCTCATCAAATGGAATATAATCTATTATATTATAATTTATGCAGTGCCAAAATATTTTTCCAATAATTCCAAAAGCAAATTGTGAACAAAGTTAATTTACTTTATAGGTTAAGCATAAAGATTGAAGGATTGAAGGAGATATTCGATAATTGATCGTTAAGAGATTTGAATTTTTTTTTTTTTTTTAACCATCATGTTGTAGCAAATATATTTTTTTTTAAATTGAATTTTCACGTGAAATAAAAAATGAATTTACCAAAGCTTGTTCACCTTTTTTAAGAAGAAGTCGGCGAAACTATAATGGATTTGGCAATTTTTCAATTGCAATTGTCAAAGCAAAACTCTTTAACAATTTTAGCGATACTAAACCCTTTTATTGCGCATCATGTTGTAGGTAAATGATTTTCGATATATATTTGAAGTAAATTTATTCAAAACTGCAAGCCTGTATTCTTTTATATGTCAATTAATTTATTTGTCAAAGGCATTCTTCAAAATACCGCATCTGATTAGCACTAGATATAGACAATTTTGTCTAACGCCCCGTTATAGTCGCAAACATAAAGATAGGTTGCTGAAATTCGGGATAAGCATTCCATGTTGGATTGGGGAATGAGCGGGATCTATTCACAAACACGTCGAAAATGCAGAACAACCTGAAACAATTCTGAAAACAACGAGAATTTTTTCAACATTTCGTCCATAAATTGCGACCCGGCGAATATATTTCTAAAACGCCACATATACCTAATCTAACGGTTGTGCCGACTCACAGAATTAAAAAATTGTGATGTGTGCTCGTAAAAGTAGATGGACCACATATAGATATAGCAAAGCAGGCAGAACATTTCACATATTTGCTGCAATTAAATCGTTAAAAATCATTATATAACAAATGAAGATATCTACTTTCTATCTAAGTAGCATTTTTTTACCTTGAAATCGCACAAACTTGTCCAATTGACGATTGCGGTAAATCTAGCGCTAAAACAGTTTCGATTCTTTATCCGCCAACGCCGGATCACGATGTCAAAAACTAGATTGATTAGGAGCAAGTATGAAACTTATATTCTGCAGAGGCGTACCCACCATTATGTTTTTCGCATCATACTCTTCAAGTTATTTTATTTGATGCGCATATCGCTGGTATTATTAAGAAAAAAAGTAATCGCGGTGTCTACCATATTCATTTCAAAAATTAACCCATTTTTAGGCAGATAATATATTTTCATTCTCACGGCCAATAACACACATGTATACAGACGGACAGACGTGGCTAACTCAACTCAGAATTTCTCGCTGATCAAAAATACATATACTTTAAAGGATCTTTGAAGCTTACTTTTGGATGCCACATACGTTATGAAAAACAAACAAAATGATTATACCCGCTTCTCACAGTGGTGGGTATAAAAATATACAACAACCTGTTCTTAATACGGAATAATATGGGCTGAATAGTAAGTGATAGGAAAATGACCGTTCGATTTATAAGCTTCGTTTACACGTAACGTCTTATTAAAAATTAGTCCACAAAAACAGAAAGAATGACTTAAAAACTTGACATTTATTGCAAAGATCGCAAGGGAACTTATTCTTAATTGGTAAAAATATCCATCATCCAATTGCAGAGTTAATAAAATTTTAACAAGAACTAAATATAGCGAAATTTGTTAAAAGGAAAGGGGTCGAGCGAAATGCTAATACAACTCCCGTCAGCATAAAAAATAATCTCCGTCATATCACTCAGTTCGAAAGGCTGTTCGATGAAATTCCATAGAGATAGAGATCCATTATTTGATTCAAAAATAATTTTTGATAATATTTCACGAAGTTAGCTTTCTTCAATTGCAAACTCTATTCGAAGTGAAAAATAATCGCTTAACACACTTGTGTTATTCCCGCAATAAAACGTGAATTTCTACTTCAGCAAAAAGTTAATTAGGACTATGGTATTCTTGCATGAACAATGAATGCCTTAGGATAAGAATTCTCAAACTATATCTGTCGGGTTTGTATTGCTTTTAATGCTTCTTATTCGAATCCAATACCAGGGTCCAGGATGAGGTCTGTAATTATTTTGTAAAAAAGTGCTTGGAATATCCAGAAGGAGGCATTAGATACTACATAAAGTATTTATGCTCTTGATCAGGATTCTAAATTGATTTAAGTACGTCCATCCGTCCATCTGTGCAATGTTCGTTGTAAGCATTCTCTTCGCCGCAAAAATGTATTTATTAACTTTGAATTTCACAGGGACTCTTGCACGCAGGTTAGTATTGAAAATGGGCCAATTCGATTGAAGGACACGCCTACAATGACACATAAACTGAGAACATCTCTCTTTGTTTCAAAAAGAATAAAAAATTAATTTTTTTTTTTTGCTGATTACTCACCTACAGCAGATAAATTTACAAAAATTTGGGGCGATGCTGTAGTACATGCGCAAACATGGTAAGAATCGACCATGTCTATTCAATATTATAATGTAACAAAATTTAATTTTTCTTTTCAATACTTTCGCAATCCGCCGAAGCAAGCTTGAAAAACCTCATAAAGTATACAAAAACTTGGCTCAGAATATGATGCTGATTAAGAGTATATAGATTTTGGGCGGGTCGCCGAAGCTTCCTTCTGGGCGTTGCTGACATTTTGCCAAAATGAATATACCCCTCATCCCTCGGTGATGAATTTACCAACTTGTCTGTCGATCAATCGTTTATATAGACATCAGGCAAAGATTTTGCAATGACTTATTAGTACACTCCAGAACGATTGTGCTACAGGATATATTAAGTTTGTACGGGCGTGCGTAACTCCCAGAAGCACTTCGGGTAGATCTACCTGTTATTATACCGAACAACTCAGAATCATTTTCTGAATTGATCTAAGCTTATCTCTCCGTTTGTCCGTATAATGTCTGTCCATGTATTCTTGTGGTCAATCTACAGCTTGTAAGTTTCGAGACACTTTTATGAAATTTGATACAATGTGACGTATTTTGAAAATGGTTGAGAGTGGAAAACTTGTTCTTCGGTACCACTAACCGTACAACGCCTTGTCTTGACAAGAAAAACTATTGAAATTTTAGAGTGTCACGGAAAAATATCGCTTAGTAATAGTAAGTCGGTATTCGAAACTGGTGTAGAGATCGCATAGCTCAAAATTTTGAACTCCTTTGCCATATAATAGTTCTATATGGAAACTGAGTCTTTATATGATAAAAGGGACTAATTCTCAGTACTTTTTGATGGAAATTCATTCATCATATTGATTTCGTACAAAAATTAACCTTAGCGAATTTAGACCACGTGAATCTATAAAAGGCTGCCATGGAGAAAGAAGCCTATATATGTCGAAAAAATTTAATTTGTAATATTTTTCAATGGAAATTGGTCGGTTCTTAGTAGATCAACCGTTGGAATATTCGATCATATAGATATATTTTTTAGATCGCATCATATAGGGGGGCTCTCACAAGAACAAGCCTTTCTATGGCGACAAACTCCAACTTTGCGGTATGCTATGACCATCAAGGATCCAACTGGAAGATAATCACAAGTTCGTCGAGTTCGTCAATTAAGTTCGCCAAATTTACATCACGTTGACGTGTGAGCGTCCCTCAATATAATGGCTTTCTTCACATTGTTTCTGCTAGAAGAGAAAAAGGTTTTTTTATGCTGCTTGATTCTCTATTATTGACATTTCCATTTGGTAGTGATACCTGTATGTGATATGGTTAGGGGCTAAGGGAAACGGTTAAGTTCTTAAGTGACAAGGACTGCATTATTGATATGTTACCTGTAATAGATTAATAGCGATGTTACCATATTGTTAAAATAAATGCATTCGATCATCTTTTCGTCACTACGATTTATTTAATTCGTTTAATTCGGTCTCGTATGCGCTAAGTTGAATTGTTGAGTGAAACCTGGTCAACCTGTGCTATTTCAATTCAATGGCCACAGTGGCCACCTCTTTGGTACAATAACTCTGATTTTATATTTTTCATTTTTTACATACACATTCATACATTAACTTTCACTTTATTATGTTGTGTTTTTTAGTGATATGCTGAGCATTTGGAAAAGTTGCTTTTCGAAAATTTCCTAAAAAGACGGCCTTAAGCTAATCGAATATTAATCAGAACATAAAAGGACAAGTTAAAGATAATTGGAAACGGGAAAAATTCCTATTCTATTTAGATTTCAATAAAGTGAATTGTACGCATGCGTGTGAGTGTTTTATACGTGCGTAGCAATAGCAATGGAAAACAAGTGTTAAATGTGTTAAAGAGCAAAATTTGTATTGTTTTCTTTTCTTTTCTTTTTTTTTTTTTTTTTTTTTTTTTTGTGATTTCTTTTATTTTTATTTTTTTTGCAATTGGAGTGAAAAGAATCTTTCGTTTCGGTTTTCTACTGCTCTATTGAAAACGCCTACTTAGACTAATTGCAAGAAGTACAAGGAACGTTTAACATTTATAGGTAAACATAGCTAAGGTATTTAATGTTGAAACATTTTGAGTATGACGTCAAAATACGAACGTATTAAAAGTGATTGCCGTGCACGTAACGTTGTCTGGGAGGATGCAGATTTTCCTGCGGTGCAATCATCGGTTTTTTATTATCAAACTCCACCGTTTACGTTTCAATGGCGTCGAATAACGGAAATTGCTGACTCTCAAAATGCTTGCTTCGTAAATGAAACTGAAAATTTTGACGTTATACCAGGAAAAATGGGTGATCGCTGGTTAGTTTCCTGTCTCGGTGTATTGCATTCTTTGCGTAATCTTTTTTACCGTGTGGTGCCTGCTGATCAAAGCCTGGATAAAGCGAACGGTATCTTTCGTTTCCGTTTATGGTGGTGCGGTGAATGGGTAGAAGTGTTAGTTGATGATCGTTTGCCCACCATTAACGGCCGTTTAGCGTTCCTTCAACCGCAATCGTCCAGTTGCTATTGGGCTTCATTGTTGGAGAAAGCTATTGCCAAACTTCATGGTTCCTATGAAGCTCTTAAATATGGTACACGTTCTGATGGTTTAAGCGATCTGCTTGGTGGCGTAGTCGAATGTATACCAATGAAGGCTAACAGCACTAACGATATGGTGCGGCCGCAACAATTGAAAGCTCACCTAGACACCACCAGCATTGTTACCTGTATAGCAACCACAAATTCGTCGTCGACAATAGCAACGACACATAAAAATACATCAGAACGTCTGGTAAATGGTATTGCGCTCAATGTAAACTACAGGTTAGTTACCATAAACGAAAAAAAAAAAAACAAAATATAAGAGTAGGAGGACTGTTAAGCTTTTAGCAAGCGTTATACATGTAAGTAAATATTTGTGCTAATGTTAAAGGCGTAAAAAGTAATGAGGCCGTAATAAATCATATATTTTCTGGCTTGTCCCACCTTCAGCTTTTCTTGGCCCCCCCGAAAAGAATGTTTCAAAATGTTTCCAATAAAAACAAAATTCTACAAATATGTATTGGAGACATGCAACAGTTTTATAAGATCTTAAAAAAAATGTCGGCAAAAAAAAAAAAAAATCTTCTAAAATCTAATTGGAAGAAAGCAAAACTTACAAAAAATATAAAATTTTCAAAGAAAAATGTTTCGAAATGTTTCGAACGTTAGGAACAAACAATTGAAAATTTTTGACTTATGCCTTATAATAATAATAATAATAATAATGTCTTTAGTTTTCTTTCACTTGCCGTGAAATTTCGAGTTGCCTTGCAATGGCCGGATTCACTAAGTCGTCCAGGAACTTCGTTCTTCGAAGATAATCAATTAACCGATTTCCTATTGCACACCAAAAATGTGGATTCATATCCTTTACGGAATGTTTTAAATGCCTTGATGGCTTCGCAGTATTTTTTTTTTTTACGGTTTTTTGATCCCCTTGGTAAAGTGAAATCTAACGGCTTAGAACACGATACCGATCATCTTTATAGGCTTAACAAATTTGAGGCTGATCTTTTCAATTACTTTCTACTAATCCGCATTAATTAATTAAACTTTTATGTACTGATCGCGTTGCGATAATTGCGCGATAACTGAATTAATCATAATTCATTAAACAAAGGTAGTTCAAGTCGTAACCATATGGTACACATCTATCCGACAGCGAGATGTCTAATTGATCAGATAAATATTGAAATGGATTTAAAATGTATGTCCGGGAAAAGGTAGTACATTCTACTTCTGATATGATATTCACTTGTTTGTTTTGCACCCGCTAAGGCTATGTTGAACGCCCCTGACATACTTAAATTAATACCGTTAGTTAATTTGTTAAATACACCGTCACACGTGTTACTAACTGATAATTACTTTTCTTTTTCTTTTTGTTTTTTTTTTTTTTTGTTTTGCCCATATTAAGATTAAACAGCAAATTGTTGTTACCATATAAATTCTAGTTTCTTGGTAACGTATTTCAAGTTGAGTTTAATTTACATATACTGGGCCGATGAATAAAAAAAATGATAGTACTATCTACGTACTGGCGTACGGGTGTACTGCATAAGATATGCGTGTCCTCGACCAGTGTAAGATTCTGGGATGTCTTAAACAGGTCCACTTGCTCGTTCAATTATCTATCGATTTCTTATCTATAGTTAACGCTGATTTTCCGAAATTGTTCGTAACGTGACCACATAGCCCTGAAGCGGTTTTTTGAAAGAGTTCAAGTTTTATGGTTTTAAAAATTTTTATTTGATTTATTTATTTAATTTGTCTGTACTTCAAGGATTTAAAGGCTGCCGAATAATCTAAATTATATATGCTTGTCTGTATTGAAAGCTCAATCGCGCTTGAGATTTGAATCCACGACCGTTGTTGGAGTGTTAGTCGGAATCCTTTGCCTACTCGGCTACTCATGTGACTTTAAACGTATTTTCTGGAAAAGGAAAATGCAAGTTAAAATTTATCATTCACGGTAATTATCGAGGAGGTACACTGGATTTGTCGGTCCGTTGATACAATACCAAATAAAAAAGGGTATAGTCAAGAGTATATTTAGCTTGCACGGGTGTATTCAACACTCCGAAGAACGTGACATAGACCCACGATTGATTCAGCATCATTTTCTAAGCTTGTCTGTGCGTCTTTTTTTCTCTTGTAAAGATTGCCATTCATGCGATAATGTTTGGCTCAAGGACGAACGAGGTAGAAAATGATTCCAATCGGAATTCTTTTGCACTAGGAATAACTGTAGAAGGGTGTAGGGTATTTAATGGTGAGCTTTGTCACACCATAGTGCTTTTACTTATTTAATTTATCTGACATTTTAAGATAGCACGTATCTGTCCTTCATTACCTCTTTACAATTTATTATCTATTTAGGAATAGTACGTAGGAGGCGTAGATATTTATGTGCATATTATGTATCGCATGAAAATGGAAATAATATCTGATCAGAGTAGTTTTCTTTCCGTTTTAGATTATGTTCTTTGGATAAAGTGGAAACTTTATTGGGCGATGCCGTTCAATTGGTTCGACTTAAAGATCCTTTGGCTTGTAATGCATTTGCCAATAATAATGATTATCAAGGTGACTGGTCAGCGATGTCGTCTACGTGGGAGCGAGTATCTATCCAGGAACGCGATCGATTGTTCGGGCAATTGGATGTGGGAGAATTTTGGATGTCGTTTTTAGATTTTTCTCAGACATTTTCCAATTTGGAAGTAATCTATTTAGATGCTGATACCGCCAAAGATGAGCTAACCTTGCAGGATCGCCCGAAACGATGGCAAATGAAAATGTTTCAGGGTCAATGGAAACGCGGCGTTACTGCGGGTGGTTGCCGCAACCATGAATCATTTCACATTAATCCGCAATTATTGCTAACTATACAAGAGAAACAAGAGATTGTAGTTGCCTTAAATCAACATACAGCTGTAGAGCCAAAGGTTATTGGCTTTACGATGTACAAACTACTTGGTGTGTTCGGTTCAAAGACAGTGACCAAGATCAGTGATTGTCTACCAAAAGAATTTTTCAAAACTCAAGTGAGTTTTTTAAATTCTGATTATGGCAACACACGTCACGTGACATGCCGTTGCCAGTTAGAGGTGGGACAATATCTTTTAATGCCCACCACTTATGATCCAGGCGAAGAATCTAGTTTTACGGTACGCATATTAAGTACAGCTTCTTTACGTTTGTCCTTGCTCGAAACTCAAACACTTATGCTACTCGATCCATTTCCGGAACTTAAAAACGAAGTAGATGCTATTAAAATTAAAAATGTCTGCCAATATGAGCCGGTATTTATGCAATTGGCCGATGAGAATAAAACAATTAATTGTTTTGAATTACATGAACTATTGGAAGCCTGCCTGCCTAATGATTATATCAAGGGTTGCGCGAACATTGATATTTGTCGTCAAGTAATTGCGTTACAGGATAAAGCCGGTACTGGTCGCATCAATTTCTTGCAATTCAAAACGTTTTTGGTTAATTTAAAGTCATGGCAAGGCGTCTTTAAAATGTACACCAAAGAAAAGGCCGGCATTTTAAGGGCTGAACGTTTACGCGACGCTCTCTACGATGTTGGCTTTCAACTGAGTACAGACATTATGAATTGCTTGATGCAGCGTTACATACGTAAAGACGGTACTTTACGTTTAAGCGACTTCGCATCGGCCGTTTTGCATCTTACTGCTGCCTTCGACTATTTTCAACGGAAAGATCACAATCAAGATAACGTCATCGAAATTGAAATGTCCGATTGGATAAAATGTGTCTTACGCTGCTAAAGGCAGTCAAAACGGAAGTCAAATCATTTAATTATCTTTCGCATACAAGTAATGAACATCTTCTTCCTCTTAACTCTAAAAAAAAAAAAAAAATAAATAATAAATAAAAAAAAAATTTTAGTTTAATTTTATTAAATTAGATAAATCTTGATTTATAGCAAGACAGAAATAAGATACAAAAATGAATTTAATAAAAAATTTTAAAAATACTCCCACATATATACATGTATGCATTATAGTGTGCTATATTTCGAAATCTCATTATTTAGGAAAGCAAAAGTTTTAGCAACACTTTTGATATTTGTATGTTTATCCTATTTTTGTTTCTCTTTTTGTTTTTTGTTTTTAATAATAAATTTAAAACTAAAAAATTGTATAATAACAAAAAAAATTTTGTATAATTTGTAGCACACAAGCCCTACATCTATAAAATAATCTTTTTATGTATGTATGAATACTTATTAATTCTAATCACCTTGTTTGTCGACACTTTTAAAAGTTGATTATTTATTATTTAAAAAAAAAAAAAAAAAAAAAAAAAAAAAATTACGATTTTTCTCTAAAGTTAATCCTTTTAAAGTAAAGTTTACTTTAAATTTTATATTTTGGTTATATAATAAAAAGAAAAAAAAAAAATTATCCTGCCTCAGCGGAATTTATTTGTGTTTTTTCTTTTCTTTCTTGTGCAACAGGGTATGTAGAACTTAAAGGTTAAAGAGCTCAAAGTTTAGATGCATCAGATTCCTGTTTTTTTTTTTTTTTTTTTTTTTTTTTTTTTTTTTTTTTTTTTGACGCAAAGTTTACATGAATTAGGTCGAAGAAATACGGCTCATATGTACGAAGTTTTCATTTTTCGATCTCAGTTATTGCTTTTCCAAAATCACAGAAATTAATGTAGTAAGTCGGGAGATATATTTCATATTTAAGTGCGAGACTTAAGAAGACGAATTTATTGAATCTGCATTTTTTGGTTGATAGATCAAAACTGTAATTTCTTTACCAAAATTGTGGTAATATTTAGTACAAGTAAACTAAACGTTCACTTTAAGAAATATTGTACGGAGATGAAACTTCAAAATACATAAGGGCGAGAATATCGTAAATAGTGAATCTGACATTAATCCGCAATAATGATAGAATAAAATTTAGGTCTGTTTCTATTATTAAGAAATCAAAACGTGTATGCATAGGTTACATATTTTCACATAAACTATTGAAGGAGAGAGCTCGCTCGCGTCTGATTGTGTTTTATTTTTCATTTTGGTTCAAAATTTTGTTTCATTCCGACTTGTCATTTTCAATGCAATCATATACTAACAAATTATTTTTCCTTTCAAAATATCTGCCGTTAGAATTTATAATATCATAAAATTTTTTACTGTAATTAATTTCAAATTATTTGTTGTAACGTGAATTATACATTTACTGTAGTGTATCATTCTAAATTCTCTGTCACAAATGGTAACTAAAACCAGATAACACAATTAAGAATATAAATTTAGTTCATTTGATAGTAGTTTCGGTGCGATAATTCACGCAAACAAATACACAGATGATTTAAATAGCAAAGTACATAAATATGCTTACACATTCGTAAAACGCAGTAATTAGTTAAAAGTTGTACGTCGATTGACAACGTGGTTAATTTAGCAAAAAGTGAGTCACTTCAATTTTTAACGTACATTATGGCTACATTTTCGATGGGCCAACAAACTTATGCTGTTCCAATGGCATTGTTTCGAAAAAATCGTGCTAAAGTTTGCGCTGCTTTAAGAGAAAATGCTGCCATTGAGCGATCAACTTATGTCCTAATGCAGGGCGGTCGAGATGTTAGCTTTAATGATACAGATGTTAGTTTTCTTTTCCGTCAAGAATCTTATTTTCAATATTTATTCGGTGTTAAGGAGCCAGATTGCTATGGTGTTCTTAATATTGACACTGGCGTAGCTACATTGTTTGTGCCGCGATTGCCGGAATTTTATGCAACCTGGATGGGTCGAATAATAAGTTTGGATGAATTTAAGGCTATGTACGAAGTAGATGAAGCACGCTACGTCGACGAATTGGATGTATTTTTTGAAAAAGCAGGCCCCAAATTAATTCTAACATTAAGTGGTCTAAATACGGATAGTGGTTTGAGTTCGAAACCAGCCCATTTTGAAGGAATTGAAAAATATGTAGTTAATTGCGATTTGCTGCACCCTATAATAGCTGAATGTCGTGTAATAAAAAGTCCCGAAGAAATTGAAATTTTACGTTATGTAGCCAAAGTCTCTTCCGATGCCCATATTAAGGTTATGCAATTTATGCGTCCAGGTCGCTGCGAATACGAAGGCGAATCGTTGTTTCTTCATCATGCTTACGCGGTGGGCGGCTGCCGTCATACTTCATACACATGCATTTGCGGCACAGGTGTCAATTCAGCTGTACTACACTACGGGCATGCCGGTGCACCCAACGACAGAATCGTTAAGGATGGTGATATGTGCTTATTCGATATGGGGGCGAATTATTGTGGTTATGCTGCTGATATTACTTGCAGCTTTCCGGCTAACGGTAAATTTACCGCAGATCAGAAATTTATCTATAATGCAGTGCTGGCTGCGCGTAATGCGGTATTAAAGGAGGCCCGTGACGGCGTATCATGGGTGGATATGCATCGTTTATCCTGTCGCGTTATGCTACAGCAGCTCAAGGATGGTGGCATGTTGAAGGGTGATGTTGAGGAAATGTTATCGGCTGGCTTGCCAGGTATCTTTCAACCACATGGTTTAGGTCATTTAATTGGGTTAGATGTTCACGACGTAGGGGGCTATTTAGAGGGTCAACCACCGCGCCCAACAGAGGATTGGCTGAAGAATTTGCGTTTTGCTCGCATACTCAAAGCAGGCATGTATGTGACTGTCGAACCTGGCTGCTATTTTATAAATATCCTTATGGATCGTGCCCTCGCTGATAATAGTTTAAATGAATTCATTAATAAGCCTGTGTTTGAACGGTTTCGCAATTTTGGTGGCGTACGCATCGAAGACGATGTTTTAATTACGCAAAACGGTTGCGAAAACTTTGCTATAGTTCCACGTACCGTTCAAGAAATTGAAAAATGCATGGATCAAAAGCGTAATTGGAAGAATTAAGGTTTTTGCTCCATAATGCAAACATTGGTATTGGTATTGATAATACAAAGAATGGCTGAATGCTAATTTCGAAAAATTAGTTACAAAAAAAAAAAAAAAAAAAAAAAAAAAAAAAAAAAAAAAAAAAAAAAACAATAAAAATAGATTTGCGAATAAAGTGATATGCTAAACATTATTAAATGGGAAATTTTTTTTTTACATTCGAAAATGTTAACTACATGCATAAACGGAATTGTATTTAAATTTTTATTTAACTAGCAAATGAAATTTGTTGATTACATAAAAGGATCACCAAAAGAAATTGTATGAAAACTTATAGGTTACAATCCGATTCTAGCTGGAGTACGACGTGGTGTTGCTCCTGGCGTGATAATCTCTTGCTTGTTGGCTAATTGTTCCTCTCGTTGAGCTACTCTTAGCTTTTGTTCTTCCATTTGCTCCTGAGCTAATTGCATTTGCGTTTCCATCTCTTTCAAATGTTCCGCTGCCTGTTTTTTCTTCTCACGGCCACTGCGGCCGGTTTCTTTAACTGAGAAGAACATGGGTCCTAATTCAGCCAACCAATAGCCATCAACCGCTGTTGCACACTGCATATATTCTTTAGCTGTCATAACTAATTCGTGATATACCACGTAGTCCGGTGTGGTACCCATTCCATACAATGCAGATGTAGGATGCAGATGACAGGGCATACCAGTACGTAAATTAACGTATTCTCCTATACCCTTAAGACGGGCGGCTTGGTAAAAATAAGCGGAACAGATGCATTTACGCACAATGTCCCAATCATTGCCGCATGATTTCACAATTAGTTTCTGCTGCACTAGAATATCTTTAAGCTGCTGGCGTACTTCACGCACCTTGCGCATAGCTTTCACGTGAATAAAGTGTTCATTGCACCAATTGGAACTGTAACTGTAAACAATTCGTTAAAAATGGATATTTTGTAAAAATAAAAAAAAATAAAAATGAAGAATTGAACGAGTGAGTAAAATAAAATACTTGTTTTGCTTCCATTGCAAATAAACATGAAGATAAGTTAAGTGATCGGATTCAGGCACTTGAAATTTTTCACGGACGCCATCCGCTTCTTCTTCCCGGCCCTTAGGTCGATAAAATATTGAAGGTACTGATAACATAGACACTGGAATGATATAAAATATATTCTTCGTTTGATATCTTTTTTTCCTCTCACTGCGAAAGCTTACCTATAATTAAGACTTCGGCACTGCATTCCATTTGGCAGGATACAATTAACATTTGACATTGCGGTGGATCTAAAGGAAATTCAGCCATTTGCCTGCCCAAGGGTGTCAACGCTCCAGTATGATCGAGGGCGCCCAAAATCCATAACTGATATAGCGAATTTAATATATTATCCTGTGGCGGTGGGTCCATAAAATGAAATTGCAGCAAATCAACTACGCCCAAAGATTTCAGTAACAATACCGTATTGGCTAAGTTGGTACGCTGTATTTCCGGTACGGTTAACGGTAATAATTCATCTTTATATTGACGTTGAGTATACAAGCGAAATGCTTGACCTGGACCAGTTCGACCTGCTCGGCCGGAACGTTGATTAGCGTTCGCCTGTGATATAGGATAGATTTGCAGAGCATCCATACCAATACGTGGATTATACACTTTAAGTTTACAATAACCGGAATCGATAACATAAATTATGCCGTCTACAGTTAAAGAAGTTTCAGCTATATTTGTCGCCACCACACATTTTCTTAAGCCTTCAGGCGATTTTTGAAAAATTTTTGCCTGCAGATCAGAAGGCAACTGTGAATAGATTGGTAAAATGGATAGACTAGGAGCGTTGTCTATCTCTGTTAAACGTTCATCCAAAACAGCACAAGTCACTTCGATATCCTCTTGCCCAGGCATAAAAATTAATATGTCACCGTCGTTCGGAGTTAAATGAACTTGCAGGGCCTGCTTTACAGCAGCCTCTACATAATCCTCGCAAGTGTTTTTGCTAAACATAATGTCTACAGGAAAGGTACGGCCAGGTATTTCAAACGTGGGAACGTTTCCAAAAAATGTAGCAAATTTACTCGAATCCATAGTGGCTGAAGTCACAATTAATTTCAAATCTCGACGGCGCGCTACAATCTAAAAAGAAAATGCATTTAGCTTAAACGCTATAGGATATGCGATAAGATAACACAAAGATATAGAATGTAGGTAGTTTGGAACTCTACGCTTCCTTCTAAGGTTATTTCATGTATATTAGGTGTGCTTATAAGCGAATTACATACTATTATGTCTTATACAGGTAGGAATGCTACGTTTAATCAGCGCAAACGTTTGATTTTATTTGTTTAGCTATATATTCGTATGCTCCCCTATAGTCTGTTGTTTGGAACAGCTAAGATAGATAGCTACACAGCTTCGTACACACACGTTGCTATTCGTTTATATTCACCGATTAGATTTCAGAACAGACGTGACGGGTTGCACTGATAGACATCATGGTATAATTGATAAAAACTGAACAAAAAAAAAATCTTTAAAAAGACATGAGAATTTTAGAATGATGTTACAGGAAGAGGTTATGGACGACTAACACGGTAGTATTTTTAGTACATATACATGTACACATATAGAAAAGGGTCAACCAATCAGATTCATTTTCACACTCAGCTTTGAAGCGCCTCTGATAAACAATACATTTACATATTTGCCTTTATGTGAAGTCATTAATGAGCGTAAAACGCTCCCAAACCCTATTATACTTATACACTTTAGATTATTCCTTTGCATATCCTAGAATAAGGGTAATCTACGAACCATTACAAACAGACACACATGTACTTTTATGCATATTTTTTTTTTTAAATTGGAAAAATTTCCGAATCCTATAGGAAGAATGACACAGTGTCATTTAGGAAATCAAACAAATATCAGAAAGGTTTCTAATCGATGCACACGAAGGCGCTGCTACGCTCAAATCGGAAACAATTCAAGGGTTTTACCCTGCGGGCGTTACTGGCACTACCCACACTACGAACAGTCGGCGCAAAACTGTTTGCTTAAATGCACAAGCCGCAGCGCTATTCGCTATTGATATTTTGGAAATTGAAGGTACCGGGGCCAAATTAAGCCACCCCGTAGTACAAATGAAAGCCAAATAATTTGGTGGCCACAGTAGATTTGGGACGTTTGCAGTTTATAGGAGCACCGGTCAAGAGCCATAGTTCAGATGGCCGATGGCTTATTGCAACATTGTGGCAGAGAACTATTCAATGCAGTACGTTTAGGTGACAGAAGCTTCAATCTTATACCCATAATGTTGGGCAGAGCCGTAGACTCCTTTAAGGACGGACGACGAGCTTAAGCTTAAGTTCGAGCATTTTTTAGCTAAATATAAAATATCTGATTATTTCCGGTAATGTATATACGACATAGCACCCAAAAAGTATGCCTCAGAAAATGATAACCAAAGGACTACATTAACAAGTAGTAAGACGCAGTTGCTCAACATAAAAGTTAAGATATTTTGAAAAATACACGCCTATGTTTATTTGGCTGCAATTCTCTCTTTTTTTTACACCCTACACTACTTGTGGTCTCTGTGAACGTCCGTAACATCCTGAAGAAGGACTTGAGATAGATCCCACTTTTGTTATACCCATCGATTCGGTAACATTTTCAGAATTTATACAATCCTGTCTGTCCGTCTGATGTCCGTCCTTGTAATATTGTGTTCAACTTAAAGGTCGCATTTGTTCAGACATTTTGATGAAATTTGGTCTCGCCGACGTGCTTGGACCCAACGACGACCGCTATTAAAAATTATTTGAATCGATCCGCGTTTTCGAAAAACATTGAAAAAAAAATACAATTTTCATTATTTCGTGATGAAAATTGGTTCGCAAGGGGGTTAATTGAGAAAGAAATCATCCTTACCGAATGTGGGCCACGTAGATCTATTTTTTGTATACCGACCTTATCCAAATATGAAAATGAAGTCGACCAAATTTTAAACACATATGTTTACTTCTTGGATCCCGTTCCGTTATAAGATTTCTCAAAAAAAAGATTTAATTTTTAATATTTTACGATGAAAATTATTAACCATAACATGAATTTACACCAACAAAATTAACAGTAGGGAATTTGATTAATATAGATCTATTTTTTAGGCTCTCACATATATGGGGGTTGTCATGATAAACAAGTCCTTATAAGGAGAAAAAGTATAATATCTAGTAGTAAAGGAAATTAAGTTTGCAAAATTTGAATCGAGTCATATTATGTTTTGGGCCTTCCCAGCATTGGCGGGCTTCCATCAAAAGTAGGTCTTCGCATGAAAATAATGTGCAATATTTAGTGCGTTATTACCAAAACCGGCGAATAACTGTACTTGGAGAAATGGTATTGGGTATTTAACGGACGACCTTGCCCGACTATAATGTTCTCACTTGTTTCTGTTCAATAAGAGAACGTTAATGAGAATGAAAAATCGACAGTGACGTATGTAAAATACATTATAGATATTCTTTAGCTATTTGATGATGTACGAACGATTTACCCATTTAGTGAAATCGCTATTACATTTAACGAATAATTTATAAGAGTGCAAGAGATATTGGTTAAGCTTTAGACAGATCTATTAATTTTATGTTATGTATTTATTAACAGAGATTATTAAATTTAGTTTTCTCCAAATGTGTTTTCTTGCTACATACATAGCCAGATGCATTACTAACTAACTAACATGCACTACAGCTCGGTCAGTTTACTTATTGCATGCATATTATAAATGTGTAAAAACGACCACATGTTGATCGGCACGTAAACATTTGTAAAAAAAAAAAAAAAAAAAAAAAAATTTGTATATACCCATATGAACGTAAACTAATAACGAAATATTTCAAATTTTTATAATGAAAATCTATAAATTTACGCACACATGTAGTGACCTAGAAAAGCTTAACTACTACTACTGCTAGTACTACTGTTACTACTACGACTACTACTACTGCTGCTATAGCTAAAAAGATTGTAGGCAATTGAGCTAACGAGTTATATTTGCAGTAAGAAGATTTAGAGAAACATATATAAACAGATATAGAGTGAGAAAGAGAGAGAGAGAGAGAGAGAGAGAGAGAGAGAGAGAGAGAGAGAGA